AGTCCCATTTGCTGCCGTCAATCTTAGATCATCAGGTGAGTCCAGAATTTCTGAAACATCCCTCAGCCTTGCGTTTGGGAGAGATTCCGCTTTCCATCGTTCGTCAATGACCGATACCTGAGAGCCTGTGTCCCATAGAGCTTGGAGGTGGTGGCGATTCAGGTGACACTCAACAAGGCACTGTCTACCGACTAGCGAGGTGACCTTATGGGGGTGGCAACCTTGAGCTAGGGATGGTAAAGAGTGGGCATTTTCTTCTGTACAGGAAAGCTTTTCACAGGTAGAGTCAATTTTCAGGTGAGTGCATTTTTCCTTATGTTTAGTCCAATGTTGGTTTTGACATCCTTTGGAACAGTACAGTGTCTCTTTATATGATGAACATTGTTTCAGGTTCTCAAATGACTCTTCTCTGGCACAATTTGCACATTTCTGGGACTTTTTGGTAGCTACGGTTAACACTTGTCCCTCAGCGGTAACCCTTCCCCGTTTAAAGGGGCCTCTTTGGATGGTCTGACTCCCCGGATTTTACATCCAGCTTGAAAATGTTCTCCACTCCCACATCGGAAGCAGTGTGTGCAGCGTGCATCTGTTCTGGCCTGCTGGCAGACAAAACACCTCCTTGGAGCTTGAGCAGAGCGGTTGGTATACAGGTTAGGTGCATATTGATACTGCGCAGGGTCAGGTGCTTGGGGCTGACTGTAGTTGCTGTAATACTGCTGCTGGGAAACAGGTGGCTGGGGGTCCCTATCTGGCCTCCTAACTGGAAGCGGGGCATGGGCATAAGGCGATGACTGAAACATAGGCTGCTGTAATGTCTCCTTAATCTGAGCAATCTCTGCACTGAGACCTTTTAGGGAAGCTACACCTGTCTTAAGTTCAGCTAACTCTGTTAACAGTTCTGCGGGTATCTTAGCTTTGGCTTCCTTCACAGGACACTTTGCAGATGGCGTATCTTCTAACTGGACTACACTTACAGTTGTAGCAGGCTGTGGGGCATTAAAACGCTTTTTGTTTCGTCTTTCTAACTCATTAGCACAAGCAATGTTAAGCTTCTCTAGCAAAACCTCATCTGATGTTTCGCTATCAAGCAGGAGAGGCTGCATGTCTATCCTGATACTGTCACTCTGGAGACCTGTAAGGACTGTGTGTAAACACATGCGCTGGACTAGGGCAGGGTCATACTTAAGCCCTGATTCTGACTCCTGGGAAGCAAATAGTACTTTCTGCCTCAAATCTAAGACGCGCATCAGGAAGCTTTGAGGGGTCTCCTTGCTATGCTGTGCTTCTGAAGCTAGCTGTTTGTAAAGCTCTGTTGCACTCTTCTCTTGGAAGTGGGAACGCAGGATGCATCTAAGTGTGGGAAGAGTTAGCTGGGGTTTACCTTCCAAGTAGCTGCGTAGCTGTGAGCCTGGAGAAATAGCCCTGATTACTGCGTCTACTATTTCTACCTCAGGATAGTCTCTGTTAAGTCCATTCTCAATCTGATGGGCAAGGCTGGAAAAAGTCAGTTTATCTTTCTGGCCCGGTTCACCTATCTGACCAGAAATGTTTAACTCTTTGCGCCAGTATGAGCCGGGCTGTGCACTGGGTGAGAGCTGCATGCTCCTCTGAAGATGGGCAGGGGAATCACTGGCTTTGTCTGCAGTACTCTGCTCATTTCCCACCCCTTGTTGTGGGGTTACAGTTCTCAGTCCCTCTATTATGTGATGTGTTCTGGCTGTTTCAATATCATGGTCAGTTTGCCCTGTCTTGCTATCTATGCCACTGATCATCTCTGTCATTTTGTCTTTAAGTAACAATAATTCCGACATGCCGCCATCTTCTAACTCTGCAACTTCCTCTCTTTCAAGGAACATCATAATGTGAGTCATCAATGATATGCGGGATTTGTCTTGAATAACTCTTCTCTGTTCGCCTGATATGTCAAGGAAATCACATACGTCTAGTAACTTGTCTTTAGTCAGGGTTTGCAATTCTCCTACTACCTCTTCCTGTAGTTCTTCCAAGGCGGTTGTCATGTTGACAGGTCAGGAGGAACCTTTACTGCGCAGGAGTTTACTCTGAATTAGATGGTCCTTACTGTCTCTGATGGTCTCTCAACGGCCTCAGTTGACACGTACTTAACCACCAACTTCCAGCTCCCCTCGAACAGCAACACTTTCCTCACTGCAGCCTGCCTGGGTTGTTATGTAGGGATTTAGCTGGCTCAGAATTCAGCGACCAGGATGTGGAAGCCGGACATCTGAGCAGCAATCTCAGCGGAGCCTCCAAAATGTTACGCCCCTGAAAAAGGGGAGAAATAATCACGAGAGTGACGCAGTTGTTTCCTCACTGAAAACTTTAGTGTAATGAGAAAAAGACCGCGATTTCCCCAGAAAGTTGGGTGGAGACCAGAGCAATCGATCTCAGGCTCATAGATTAAGAGCATTTAGTAGATCACAGATTAACACTTTTACCCTTAAATTAGGCACCACAAAATAAAGTAGTCAATATAAAGTTTACACATTCCTCTTACAATATTTTACCCTTTTACACTTGACGGATTTTAACACATTTATGAATTTGATCAATCTCTATGAACTAGTATTGGATGCATGATCTTTTTAACCTTAGATATTTTAAGATCCTTACATACCATGAACTTACTAATACTTTTTAGTGTATAACAGGCTATGAATATGTCCTTTAACCTGTCACACTCACTTCCCCTGTCTGAAAAATGTGTGCGCGACCCAACATGTGGCAGACATGAAGCGGTTCAAAGATAAAATAACGGGACTGTTAAGGGAGTTTGAGCAACGCTTTCAGATTTTTGGTGAACTGGAGAAAGACTTCAAAGTTTTTTGTTCGCCATTCACCGTGAATCCCTCTGATCTGCCTGTCAGCATCCAACTTGAAATAATAGACTTGCAGTGTGACTCGGATATGAAGGGCAAATTTGCCGCAGCCTGCTTGGACACATTTTATCAGAATCTCTTGCCAGGTTACCCCAACTTGACAGCCCTCGCTGCAAAACTGTTGTGCATGTTTGGAACCACATATCTTTGTGAGCAAGTTCTCTGTAATGAGCATAAATAAAACAAAGCTGCACTCAAGGCTCACGCACAAGCACTTGAATCACATCCTGAAGTTGGCTGCCACTCAGGATGTGACGCCGGATATTGATGCGCTGGTGAAAGCTAAAAGATGCCAGGTATCAGGAGTCAAATAAACTATGCAACCCCACTTAAAGTGCTGCATGAGACACCCTGATATAGTTCTGTGATCTGTGATATACTTCTGTGAATCACTGAGGCATTGTGTGTTTGTGTGTTGTTTGTCCTCAGAATTTCAAATAACTTGAGGTGTTTTATGATTAATAGTGATGTTGTGCTTTTGGACACACTGTCCTCAGGCTCCAGCTTTATGTTTATATGTTTTTATGTTGATGTGCTATTGTTTTTAATTGATTTTATTTTATTTGTATATTTAACCTATTCTTGACTTATTTGTATCTACATTTCTGCCTGAGAAATGACACCCTGATATAGTTCTGTGATCTGTGAAACAGTTATGTGAATCACTGAGGCATTGTGTGTTTGTGTGTTCTTTTTGTTTAGAATTTTCAAATAAACTTGGTGTTTTATGATTAATAGTGATGTTGTGCTTGTACTATTTTGGACACACTGTCCTCAGGCTCCAGCTTTATGTTTTATGTTGATAGTATTAAAACAAAGAAAACAATCTGAAGTTGTTGTTTTTAAGTTATATATACCATGATTTTACCGGTCCTGTCCACTTGGGAATAGATTTTCCTCCATGTGGCCCCTGAGCTAAAATGAGTTTGACACCCCTGATTTAATACAATGTTGCACTTCACTAGCAATAGCTCAAGTCAATACGCATAGAAAGGGAGGCAGACAGGCGGAATACAGAGATGAATGTGATTGAAAGCACCGGAATTTTCTTTCATCAGCATATTTTCTACTGTTTGTATTTGTCAGCTTTAGGCCTTTGCATTTTACTAGTTGATGATGGAAGTTTTAAGTCTAGGCTATTGCTGCATCTCGGAGTTCTATGCTCTCATTTCTTTAGCCGCCATTGGATCACAGTGTATCAATGTGTCCATATGACAGAGGCTAGTGCTCTCGCCATAGTTACATTTTTACTTATAGATTATCATTTTACTTCAGATTTGTATGATTAACCACGTGATAATGATTTTGAGGAACGAAAACGTTAGGTTCTATGTTCCTGTGAGGGGATTGCGCGCACTACCTGTATGCTATTTTATTTTGACGCTTTGCTTGGGCAGGGAGCTGAAGGAGCAGAGTTTGTCGACTTTACATTTTAGTCATATAGCAGACGCTCTTATCCAGAGCGACTTACCGTTAGTGAGTATACCATTTTTTTTTTTCCCTTCATACTAGCATTATTGCATTGCTTAATAAATGGTTAAACATTTCTACATGGCGTTTTCTTTCTGAAATTAAGTGTCTGACTTTCGGCTATCGCAGATGCAGCTCCCCCCTCGTCAATAGTCTGTTACTTTTGCCTTACCACTCAAACGTGCCCATAATTTCACCATAAAAAAATCATGGGCTAATAGAAATGATAAACTGTGTGGTTCGAGCCCTGAATGCTGATTGGCTAAAAGCCTAGTTTAGACTTTAGACCGTTAAAAGGCATTTCGAATCTCTGGCATGTATTCTATTTCCAAAGATGCACATTAAAAACTGCAACTTGGCCCTTTTATGCTTTACCTGCAACATTTGTAGGACATGACTTTCATCCAGAGCTGTCAAAGCTTTGATTGGGGTGTCAATTTTGAAAACCAGGACTTGAAACAAGCTAGAATGACACTTGTGGAATTAAAGAATTGAGCACACAACAATTTTATTTCACGAGTTAAACAAAGCATTGATACTCATTTTGCATTATTACATTTGATGGTGTATATAAGTCAGAAAGAGACAGACCGGGATGTCTAGTAGGGTTCTAATAAAACCACAATTCTCAATCGCTGGAGCAGAGAACATGGCACTCAAGTACAGCATCACAGGAAAGGTAAAGCAGTCAGTCTGAAAAATAAAAAGGCTTAACATCAAGATAATTCTCTCACCAATAAATCGCATGTCATCCTATCAAGCGTTCTCTCTCCTCAACCCTAGTGAGAAAGAAACTGTATATATAGAATAAAGTGTGTATGTGTTTCACTGAACGGATCAATGCCGTTCTTCCCCATTCCTGGTCCTCTTCGTGTCCTCTAACGGAACTGCAGGGGGCTGACACGCAGACCAATCACATCCTTTCCGATCTCCGTCACCTTGGAAATAAGGTTAAAGGTCAGATATCACTGGGGAGAGGATGTCTAAAATCTGTTAAGACTCACCAGTTACAAAGCAATTAATACAACATTTACACCAAAGCGGCACACTTCTAAATAGAGGGTCTTTCTGTACATAACACAGTAGGGCAGTTCTCTTGACTGACCTGTGTGACCCTGCAGACCTGGCCTTTGTAGGGGGGGCAGTAGCAGGCTCCAGACAGAGGGCACTTCTCTACGGGGCGTCCACGGTACAGGGGCGTGTAGGAGGCAGCGCACAGGTCAAATGGATTGTGGGGGTCGTAGTTCAGCTGGTGAGCATCTGTCAGCGTCTTCTCGCATGCTGCCAAGATCTTGCGTGTCTAAAAGACAGCAATAGAGATGGTAAAAAAGTGATATGGAAATAATTAAATGTAAAGTGCATTCGGAAAGTATTCAGACCCCTTGACTTTTTTCACATTGTTTCATTACAGCCTTATTCTAAAATTGATTAAATTGTTTTTTCCCCCCCTCAATCTACACCAATACCCCATAATGACAAAGCAAAAACAGGTTATACATTTTCGCAAATGTATTAAATATAAAAAAATTGAAATCTCACATTTACATAAGTATTCATCAGACCCTTTACTCAGTATTTGTTTAAGCACCTTTGTCAGCGATTACAGCCTTGCCTTCTTGGGTATGACGCTACAAGCTTGGCACACCTGTATTTGGGGAGTTTCTCCCATTCTTCTCTGCAGATCCTCTCAAGCTCTGTCAGGTTGTATGGGGAGCGTCGCTGCACAGCTATTTTCAGGTCTCTCCAGGGTTCAAGTCCAGGCTGTGGCTGGGCCACTCAAGGACATTCAGAGACTTGTCCCGAAGCCACTCCTGCGTTGTCTTGGCTGTGTGCTTAGGGTCGTTGTCCTGTTGGAAGGTGAACCTTCACCCCAGTCTGAGATCCTGAGCGCTCTGGAGCAGGTTTTCATCAAGGATCTCTGTACTTTGCTCTGTTCGTCTTTCCCTCGATCCTGACTAGTCTCCCAGTCCCTGCCGCTGACAAACATCCCCACAGCATGATGCTGCCTCCGCCATGCTTCACTGTAGGGATGGTGCCAGGTTTCCTTCAGACGTGACGCTTGGCATTCAGGCCAAAGAGTTCAATCTTGGTTTCATCAGACCAGAGAATCTTGTTTCTCATGGTCTGCGAGTCCTTTAGGTGCCTTTCGGCAAACTCCAAACGGGCTGTCGTGCCTTTTACTGAGGAGTGGCTGCCGTCTGGCCACTCTACCATAAAAAGGTCTGATTGGTGGAGTGCTGCAGTGATGGCTGTCCATCTGGAAGGTTTTCCCATCTCCACAGAGGAACTCTGGAGCTCCGTCAGAGTGACCATCGGGTTCTTGGTCACCTCCCTGATCAAGGCCCTTCTCCCCTGATTGCTCAGTTTGGCCGGGCGACCAGCTCTAGGAAGAGTCTTGGTGGTTCCAAACTTCTTACATTTAAGAATGATGGAGGTCACTGTGTTCTTGGGGACCTTCAATGCTGCAGAATTTTTTGGGGTACCCTTCCCCAGATCTGTGCCTCGACACAATCCTGTCTCGGAGCTCTACGGACAATTCCTTCAACCTCATGGCTTGGTTTTTCTCTGACATGCACTCAACTGTGGGACCTTATATAGAGACAGGTGTGCCTTTCCAAATCATGTCCAATCAATTGAATTTACCACAGGTGGACTCCAATCAAGTTGTAGGAACATCAAGGATGATCAATGGAAACAGGATGCACCTGAACTCAATTTCAAGTCTCATAGCCAAGGGTCTGAATACCTATGTAAATAAGGTCGTTTAAAAAAAAATTTAATACATTTGCTTAAAATTTCAAAATCCTGTTTTCGATTTGTCATTATGGGGTATTGTGTGTAGATTAATGAGGAAAATATATTATTTAATACATTTTAGAATAAGGCTGTAACGTAATAAAATGTGGAAAAAGTCAAGAGGTCTGAATACTTTAGGAATGCACTGTACATACAGACAAACAGTCAGATTGTTACCTGCTGTGCAACCTCTGGTTTGGGCCCTAGTTCAAGCAAGCGACGGGCAAAACTTGCGGCTGTCTTGAAGTTCTTCAGTTTGAAGAACAGATTTAGTGCCGTGCGTAAGACCAGGACCATGTGGACTGGCTGGAGACTGCAGTGGGTGAAGTAAGCTGCCATCTGAAAATATCAAACAAACAAATACAATCATTAAAAGAAGACTACAGGGTAGTAAGCTCTTATGATTAGGGATATTGAGTGATTGGAAGTAGTGATAAACACAATGACAATACCTCACACAGTCTCTTCTGCTGGTCCAATGTGTCTTTAGGCAATTTCTTCCTTTCTGTTTCCATGGTGAGGCCAACAATGTATTCTCTGCAGATTGTGATCAACTGCTGAGCCTAAGAGAGACAGTAACGTCAATCAGGTAATCACCACCAACTACCATCCGGCCCACACTTGATTAACCTCAGTAAATAACATTGACCACAATGAAATCATTTCACTCTAAACAAGTCTGCGTACCTCTGCGATCTCCTGCTTGTTGTCGACCACCAGCAGTGGCACAGACAGCAGGATGGCGCGGAAGCGTTCCACGGCTTCCTCGAAGCGGCCGGCGGTGGTGAGCTGGTAGCACTGCTGCAGGCGGGCGATGAGGTCAGAGAGACGAAGACCCACGGCAGGCAGCCCCTGCTTGGCCCCACAGTCCTTCCAGTTCCTCTGGGGGTTGCCACGCAGGCAGGGTAGAGACGGCAGGCCCAGGTAGCAGGTCCGCCCGCGGGACAGAGTCTGCATGAACAGCTGCTTATAGGGCCCGAACTGCACCACCCCAACCTGGTCATGGAGCAACTGAAAAGTAGAGGAAGAGAGAGACTTTAGTATAAAGTATAAACCTGTATAAAATGTGTGTGTGTGTGTGTAAGTGTGTGAGCTTACCCTCATGGCAGTCTCAAAGGAGCCAGCCAGGACGTGGTCCACAGGGAGCTGGGAGTTGTTGCACCACAGCTGGGTGGGGCTCATGCCCTTAGTGGGCGGGACAAAGAAACCATCTTCAACCCCTCCTCCAGCACCAGCTGACAACTCCTAGTGGTAGAGAAAATAAACAACATTCTCAAACTGACATGTCATCAGTCCTGCTATGATTTGCATTCCTTAAGCAAAATTGTCAAGAGAACTGATGTCAAAGAAGAGCGAATAATCTCACCAGCTCTGGAGGAAGGTCCAGATCTTCCTCTACCTCCCAGCCTCCTCCTTCCTCCTTCGCTGCACCTCCTTCCTCTCCTAATCCATCCTGGGCATCCATGAAGCCATCTGATGGAAACAGAGGAGAGAAATGAGAGGAACATAAGAAGAGATGGAGTAAGAGACAGGGTCCATCTGAGATGTTTTGTCTCTACTTTCAGGGTATTTGAAGAGGGACTGACTCACCCTCCTCCAGCTGAAGCTCTGCGTCATCTCCCCAGCCCTCTCCTCCTGGGGCATCAACATCCATGTCTGCAGCCATCTGACCAGCCTTCCCTGCATCACACACACAAACACATTTAACATCTCTACACAACAAATACTCTGACCACTTCTCACTCCAACATTAACGTTAAAACATTTTAAACTCAATACACGCCATTACATTACCTCTAAACTCAAATTAGTGCATGGAGTGTCAGGGCTGGGGACTCACCTTTGGCTGCAATGGCTCCCTCGAAGAAGCCCTTGGACACAGTGAGCAGGGGCCAGTTGGTATCCAGGGGGTTGATAGGAGGAGGTGGCTGCAGCAGCTGGGCATTGAGGTCTACCTCAGGGACAGTCTCCTTCTCTGGGTCAAAGGTCTCTTTCAGGGCTTCTGCCTCTTCGTCCATCCCGTGGGTGGCAGCAGTCAGATATGCCAGTGACTCTACATATGGAAGACAGCCACACAGAGGTCGGAGTTACAGAGAAGCAGTTTAGACCAAAAGCACCAGAAACAAGAGTCTTGTGTTAAATGTCGAGGGAGTGGGATAGAGATATTGTGTGTGTGTGTGTGTGTGTGTGTGTGAGAGAGAATTAAAGGGGACTTACTCTGGCCACAGTTCTTCAGGATGCGGACTCTCTCGCTGACATCCCCCAGATACAGAGCACCCTGGTAGTGTCCACTCATGTCCTTCCTGATCTCAGCTGCAACACAACACAGACGTTAGTCACACAACTCTGACAAACAGACATACCGTCAGTCAAACAAAAGACAAAAATAAAAGAATGGCGTCTCTCTCACCGATCTTCATCATCTTGCGGAGCTTGGCCAGGTTGCCGGTGATGAGGTAGAGGAAGGTGAGCTTGTCGAAGTTCTTGGTCCTCTGGTAGCACATCTCCACGACCTGGTGGTGACCCTGAAGCAGCGCCGCCTCGCCTAGCCGTTCCCAGCAGCCCCGCTCATCCAGAGCCTTGGCAGCCTCCAACGCCACCTATAGACATGGAGGAAAAATTACATCACACAGTGTTTCACACAGACGATCTCAAGAGATTCAGAATGAAACCTGGGGTCTCAAACTCACTTCAATGTTGCCACACTCCAGAGCCAGACTGAAGCGGGTCTTCTCATCCTTGACGAAGTGCAGCGCCACCTCAGGGTAACCCTTCTTCTGCAGGTATGCGATAATGGACTGGCCAACCAGCTTGGCGTTACGCACCATGTGCAGCACCTGGAGGAGACAAAGGTCAGGGGTCACAAAGTCAGTCTAAAAGAAAAAAAAAAGAGATAAGCATGTTAACTAAGAGATAGGAGCATCTAATTACATCGTCCTCACCTCTTCATATTTGCGGTTGACCAGGGCCAGTTTGAAGCGGTACTCCGTGGGGTCGATGGTCAGCACACGGGGTCTGCACTCACGGTCCAGACAGTAGACGCTGTTGCCTCTGACCCGGGTCACGTAGATGGGCAGGTCCAGAGTCCGGATGATACCATGATCACTACAGACAGAGTAGAGTGTGATTAGAAAAGTTGGATACACCTCTCGTCTATCAAATGCATCACCGAAGGAGTAAACAGCTTTCATTTTCCAGTATGTTCACAAATTGATGAAGGACTAGGAAGTGAATGAATCAATATACTGTACTTTGAATATACTCTGAATAAAGTGTGCATTAGTGGTGTCTTGTGCATTACCCTGAGGTGAGGGCGTATTTGATGTGGTTAGATGTGGTGTAAATGAAGACTCCACTCTCGTCCCAGGCTCCACTCTTCACACGGATGTTCTCATGGATGTTGCACAGACTCTCCAGCTTCCTGTTGCAGATCATAATGGCTGTAGAGGAAAGCAGAGATTTATCAACAGATTTAATACCAGGTAAATCTGGGGTACTAGAGAGCGAGTGAACAGCTAAAAAGGGTGTAAATCTAGGATAGGTTGTTGACAACAGCTATAGAGAGTGAATCGTGATAAGTTTAAAAAACAGCAAGAGGGCCCAAAATCTTGGCAGCAAAGCTGGAGAGAAAGTATTGGACAGATAAGATCCTGATATGGTTCTGAGTGAGTACAGTACATACCGTGTTTAGCCAGCAAGGCCACGTGGCTGGTGTCAGCGCTCCACACCACATACTTGACCTTGGCGATCTTCACGGTGGCCAGAGAGCGTTTCTGCTGCACGTCAAAGAGGGTGACCCCGTCTGCGTCGCGCAGCAGCAGGGAGCCTGTCCCGGCGTAGAAGATCTCCTCACAGCTGGGCACCTGCACCTTTTTCACAATCTCATTCTTCAGGTTCTTGATCAGCAGCTGGAGGGAGAGCAGGGTACAACAATTATTTTAGTCATCCTCGGACCACTCAACTGTACAATAACCATACTTAACTACAGCCATTGGTCCAGAAAATACAACCTATTTAATAATGTGCACACACACACTTACAGAATGCATGCGGTCCAGAACAGCAAACCTGTTCCTTGCGACCCAGACTGCGGTCAGACCAGAGGACCTCTTCCCCTCAGGAGCTGCATGAGGGGGAGAAAGAATGAACATGGGTTTAGTGGATTTTCATCATCTAAAAAGCAGGATGTGAAACTGGAATTACATTCACATTTCACAGATGCTGTCTTGCTATAAGAGAGAATAAAGGTGCAGTTTTACCATCTGGGTTCTGAGAGTCGCTCTCTTTGGGAATGGAGTACAGGTCATAGGTGCTGTTCTCCAGGTTGGTTGCCCTCTGCACGAGCAAGCAAGAGACACGGCATTAAATTTTCAACAACTAAAGAAACTGTGTCTAAATTATGAGTGTGTGTATGTACTGTATAACCTATTATGTGCATGCACGTTTTTTTTTTTTAAGGGCGAGACTCACAGTGCAGAGCAGGACAGCATTCTCTGCGGGGTTGTAAGACATGCTGAACACTGGGAACTTTGACCCACTAGTAGAAAAACAGAACGGTGGTTAGAATCCACATAATGACAAAACCAGCTGACCTCCCGCATTCTTTTACAAAATCGCAAGCAGTCACTCAGTCTCATCCTTCAGAATTCAGAGAAAGGACAATACAGACGTCGCAGTATTATATGAGCATGTATACGCAAACACACACCTGCGCAGCTGCATGACAGCAGTGTCCTTGCTGCTGTTAAAGTCGAGCTGGCGCAGGAAGCGTTCCTTGACGTAGTAGAGCATGTTGCCGTACACAGCATAGGCCGGACGCTCACGCTCCAGCTTAAACACCAGCATACCGCTGTCATGACCTGGAGGACAAACAGCCTGGTTATACACTCCGCTTTAATTAATAAATGTCTTCAACAACACACTGTCACTGAAAGACAGTGAAATAAAGTGCAGCAATATTCAGTATGTGTGCCTATCTGCATATGAGGTGGGTCAAGAGTCAAGACTACCACCTCCACCCGCCTTTACAAGTATCTACACTACCACCTCCACCCGCCTTACAATGTAATCTACTTTGAGCACATTAAAAAGCCCCATAACAATTCAATTCATTGCTATCATTATGTGTAAGTCACTTACCAGCAGCAAATAGATTGAGGTTGGGGTGAGCCCCCAGCACCCAGAAGCGGTCGTGGTCCCTGCGGAAGGTCTGGACACCGGTCCTCTTGGACATGTCCCATACACGGATGCTCTTGTCCTCAGAGTTGGACAGGATGAGCTCCTGGCGGGGGTGGAAGACAGCACAGGACACGTTGTTGTAGTGGCCCCTGCAGGTGTCCAGCTCCCACGCCTTGGACTCTGGGGAGGGGGAGAAAGTAAGACAATCAAGTTGCTAGGATCTAGGAAAAATCAGCAACCAAGCATGTTCTTTAAATAGCACTGTACCTTTATTTAAAACATTTTCTACAGTTCATAAACATGTACATAGAAGACAATTCATTATCTGGGTCGTTCCACGAAATGAGTCCCTTTTTGGGCAGTGTAAAAAAAATTACCCAAACCTTCTGTCATCGAGGTTAAATAAAAAAAATGACTATAGTAAGTGCCCATTAAGTGCCAAATAAAGTAACAGGGCGAATGGACGCTTCTTGTGTGCAACAGTGAGGGACAAAAAATGAAATTGTTAAAACATTTCTAGCCCATCTATCTTTGGGTAACAGGGTTGACGTGTTATGCTCGACCCACTCAGTTTCCACCACAAAACAGAAAATAGCCAAAAAGAGTAGAATCAGCGCACCTGATTTTACAGTGTGATTTGACAAGATGTTCAATGTTTCTTTTGAAAACAATTGTTAAAAAGGAATAGTCTCACCTTATTAAAACAAAAGTTCAGGTTACGTAACAGGGTTGACCTTAAAACGAGGGACAGGTTGTTGTTTTTTACCTTAAAATATAAATCACATGAAATAAATAATGTTCAGAAATGACTGTTAAAGCAACAAAATAACTGGCTTTACAGTAGCTAGGTTTCCATCCAATTAGCGACAGAGTTTCCTGCAAATATTCTAGAATCTGCATAAAGAATTTGCGCATTTTCCCACCAGTGGTGTGTTTTCACCAAACAGACTTTTTGCGGATAAAAATCAGTGGGTGATGAAGTAGTGCACACATTTATTTTTATCGCTTAAGTTTTCATGTACCAAATAAAAATTCAAAAGTTCAATGTTTCCATCGCATTTTCAACTGTTGCGTTAAATAGCAAATAGGACTACAGTACTCTGGTCTTGGCATGTGCGCGCTAGCCAAAAGCTCGCAGATACTGTGCGGGTAGGCTAGTCTACATGATGAGATTATTATGGATAAGAGCGAGAATATTTGTACTTTGGATGGATACGGGGTTAATGATGGTGAAAACTTGGGAGAAATGTTGGGGTTAAGTGAGTTAAAGGGGTGCACAGAGGGACATGTCAAAATGACTTTATTGAATTGCAAGATTGATTGAATTTTCCATGTGGTCTATAGTAAAGAGCACTACATTAAATATATCAGGCTATTTTTTATTCAATATTGGTGCACAATTTCTACCTAAAATATCAAAGGGACGCAAAAGGAACTAATTTTGTGGAACGACCCATCTACTCACCGTTCATCCTCCAGATCTTGACCTGCCGGTCGTCGGCCCCTGAGACGATGAGGGGCATGGTGGGATGGAAGGCGGCCCAGTTGACCCCACGGTCGTGACCCTGCAGGGAGAGGGAAACGCACATGGTTCATAACTGGGCCCATCCATGTGGCCCAGACTTTTTCTTAGTCAGCACAAACTCCTGGGCCTACCAATAACATTACTATTAATTTCAGTGATCTGCTCAGTGCTCACCCGTCTTTCTCCTTAGAGTGTCTTCAGGCTAAGGCCGTGATTTGAGAAAAAAAAAAAAAAAAAAAAAAACTTTTCCTTTTTGTTAGTATAAAAATCGCTGAATAATAAATAAACTGCTGTTCCAATTGCGTCCACTGGATGGCGCAATAGCAATTGTGTTAAGCAAGCAAACTGTTTATACCGGGGCAGAGCAAGTAGGTCAAGCACGTGCAGCCAATGAGCTACTTTGTTTTGCCCGCGATATTTATTACGGCTTCTACTTTTAACATTATGTGCTTTGGCACCCTCATTGCCCCAATATGTCTCTGTCAAAAAAGAGAAAAGTGGACGCAGAGTGCAGAGTGTTCCAAGAAAAATGGTCATCCTATTTATTCACGGAATTGAATGGGAAAGCTGTATGTTTGGTGTGTTCAGAGCATGTTGCAGTGCTGAAAGAATATAACCTTTGTCGCCACTATGTGAGTCTTCATGCCGACAAATATGACAACTTTCAAGGACAGCGGAGATGAGAGAAGGTGAATGAACTGTTGGCGGGTCTGAAGAAACAGCAGTCTGTGTTTACTCACAGCCGAGACATCAGTGACTGCAGTGAAAGCTAGCTACCTCATTGCTAATGAAATCGCAGTGGCTTCAAAACCATTTAGTGAGGGTGAATTTGTAAAAACATGCATGATGAAGGCAGCAAAGATTGTGTGCCCTGAAAAGCGGCAGGCTTTTGCAAATATCAGCCTGACAAGAAACAGTTGCAGACAGGATTTCCGATCTTTCAGTGGATTTGGACAGCCAGTTGAAGCAAAAAGTAAAGTCATTTATTGCGTTTTCGGTTGCAATTGATGAAAGCACGGACATTACAGATGTTGCACAACTGGCCATTTTCATCCGCGGAGTTGATGACACATTGACCGTCACCGAGGAGTTCGTGGAGTTGGTGCCGATGACAGATACAACGACAGCAGCTGATATTTTTACCGCACTCGTCGGCGCGCTGGACAGGGTCGGAGTGGACTGGTCCCGCGCTGTCAGCCTGGCTACAGATGGTGCGCCCTCAATGATCGGGAAAAAAGCAGGCGTTGTGACAAAGTTCAGAGAGAAAGTGCAATCTGCAAATGGAGGACGTGATTTTTGGACTTTTCACTGTATTTTGCACCAGGAGGCTTTGTGTTGCAAGTCATTAAAGATGGATAACGTCATGAAGGTGGTCATCCAAACTGTTAATTTCATCCGATCCAGAAGCCTGAATCACTGTCAGTTTGACAGCCTTCTCAGAGAGAAAGACCACATCTATGGCCTGCCATACCACACTGAGGTAAGATGGTTAAGCCGAGGTGCTGTGCTGAGGCGTTTCTTTGATTTACGAGAAGAAATTGAACAGTTCATGGAAGAAAAGGGCTTCTACTGTATGATGAGGGCAAACCAGTGTTAGAATTTCATTCCGCAGAATGGATGCAGGACCTTGCATTTATGGTGGATGTTACAGAGCACCTGAATAACTTGAACAAACAGCTGCAAGGGCGCAACAAAGTTGTCACGCAGTATTATGACAGCATACGTTCTTTCAAGTTGAAGCTGTCATTGTGGGAGACGCAACTTGCCGGTGGTGATGCAGCTCACTTCCCCTGTCTGAAAAATGTGTGCGCGACCCAACATGAAGCGGTTCAAAGATAAAATAACGGGACTGTTACGGGAGTTTGAGCAACGCTTTCAGATTTATGTTTATGTTTTTATGTTGATGTGCTATTGTTTTTAATTGATTTTATTTGTATATTTAACCTATTCTTGACTCTGTGGTTCTTGCACTTGTTTGGGGAACAGGATTTCATTATTTTTATCTACATTTCTGCCTGAGAAATGACACCCTGATATAGTTCTGTGATCTGTGATATACTTCTGTGAATCACTGAGGCATTGTGTGTTTGTGTGTTCTTTGTCCTCAGAACTTTCAAATAACTTGAGGTGTTTTATGATTAATAGTGATGTTGTGCTTTTGGACACTGTCCTCAGGCTCCAGCTTTATGTTTATATGTTTTTATGTTGATGTGCTATTGTTTTTAATTGATTTTATTTTATTTGTATATTTAACCTATTCTTGACTCTGTGGTTCTTGCACTTGTTTGGGGAACAGGATTTCATTATTTTTATCTACATTTCTGCCTGAGAAATGACACCCTGATATAGTTCTGTGATCTGTGAAACAGTTCTGTTAATCACTGAGGCATTGTGTGTTTGTGTGTTCTTTTTCTTTAGAATTTTCAAATAAACTTGACGTGTTTTATGATTAATAGTGATGTTGTGCTTGTAGTATTTTGGACACACTGTCCTCAGGCTCCAGCTTTATGTTGTATGTTGATCGTATTAAAACAAAGAAAACAATCTGAAGTTGTTGTTTTTAAGTTATATATACCATGATTTTTCTGGTCCGGCCCACTTGGGAATAGATTTTCCTCCATGTGGCCCCTGAGCTAAAATGAGTTTGACACCCCTGCCTTAGAGGGTATATAAGATCTTTGCCTATAGCAATTCTGAAGTACAACAAAAGTACCATCAATAGTCATCAATGTCTTACAGAGAGACTCAAAACAGACTTACCTCGAGCACGTGTTTGACAACAGCATCAGATGCTCCGAACAGATCGACGCCAGAGATGCCTCGCACATCAGTTTCCACAGCACCGGGAGAGAGGTTCTTCTTCCTCAGACCTGGAACCAACATGCATAGCACCACACACAAGGGGAATCCATATATATGTTACACAGGTGCACCCAGATACAGGGGAGGGAGAAAGGAGATGGAACATGATACACATTAAGACACACTAAAATAGATACCATCAACAAGAGGGAAAGATAGTATCATCAGAGATCTCTAACACACATACGTAGCTGTTGAATTCCCAAACACACACACACACACACACAGGCACTGAAGAGCAACGACACAACCGGTGTTCTCACTGTGGTTCTAACTCGAGTACAGGAGGAACACTATCACCATATTCAGCACATCAAATAGTCATTGAGTTGATTGGGTTAATTAATCAACAACACACAAAGAGCATCACAGTTCCCCTGTCATTGGATTACAGTTAATCTAGGGCTGACCCCAATTATTCGACTAGTCGATTGTTTGGTCGATAGGCTGTTGGCCGGCAATAAATAAAAAAGTCAAGCAGTAGACTAATACATTGCGAAGGCCGCGGGGATGGCACAGTCCAAGGGGAGTGTGGCTGAACAATGCAAGTCTCTCTCCAGAATGCGCTCTCTCCCGCCCATTTGTGCACGTTCATGGTTTCATAACTTCATAGTGTGAATTGTTTACGTTTGATTGTGTCTATCAATTCCCCATTACATACACTACCGTTCAAAGGTTTGGGGTCACTTAGAAATTGCCTTGTTTTCGAAAGAAAAGCAAATTGTTTGTCCATTAAAATAATATCAAATTGATCAGAAATACAGTGTAGACATTGTTAATGTTGTAAATGGCTATTGTAACTGGAAACAGCAGATTTTTTATGGAATATCTACATAGGCGTACAGAGGCCCATTATCAGCAACCATCAGTCCTGTGCTCCAATGGCACGTTGTGTTTGCTAATCAAAGTTTATCATTTTAAAAAGGCTAATTGATCATTAGAAAACACTTATGCAATTATGTTAGCACAGCTGAAAACTGTTGTGCTGATTAAAGAAGCAATAAAACTGGCCTTCTTGAGACTAGTTGAGTATCTGGAGCATCAGCAATTGTGGGTTCGATTACAGGATCAAAATGGCCAGAAACAAATAACTTTCTTCTGAAACTCGTCAGTCTATTCTTGTTCTGAGAAATGAAGGCTATTCCATGCGAGAAATTGCCAAGAAACTGAAGATCTCGTACAACGCTGTGTACTACTCCCTTCACAGAACAGCGCAAACTGGCTCTAACCAGAATAGAAAGAGGAGTGGGAGGCCCCGGTGCACAACTGAGCAAGAGGACAAATACATTAGTGTCTAGTTTGAGAAACAGACGCCTCACAGGTCCTCAACTGGCAGCTTCATTAAATACTACCCGCAAAACACCAGTCTCAACGTCAACAGTGAAGAGGCGACTCCTGGATGCTGACCTTCTAGGCAGAGTTGCAAAGAAAAAGGCATCTCTCAGACTGGCCAATAAAAAGAAACAATTAAGATGGGCAAAAGAACACAGACACTGGACAGAGGAAGATTGGGAAAAAGTGTTATGGACAGACGAATTTAAGTTTGAGGTGTTCGGATCACAAAGAAGAACATTTGTGAGACGCATACCAAATGAAAAGATGCTGGAGGAGTGCTTGATGCTATCTGTCAAGCATGGTGGAGGCAATGTGATGATCTGGGGGTGCTTTGGTGGTGGTAAAGTGGGAGATTTGTACAGGGTAAACGGGATCTTGAAGAAGGAAGGCTATCACTCCATTTTGCAACGCCATGCCATACCCTGTGGACGGCACTTGATTGGAGCCAATTTCCTCCTACAACAGGACAATGACCCAAAGCACAGCTCCAAACTACGCAATAACTATTTAGGGAAGAAGCAGTCAGCTGGTAGTGTCTATAATGGAGTGGCCAGCACAGTCACCGGATCTCAACCCTATTGAGCTGTTGTGGGAGCATAAGAAGTGCCCATCAAGCCAATCCAACTTGTGGGAGGTGCTTCAGGAAGCATGGGGTGAAATCTCTTCAGATTACCTCAACAAATTGACAACTAGAATGCCAAAGGTCTGCAAGGCTGTAATTGCTGCAAATGGATGATTCTTTGACGAAAGCAAAGTTTGAAGGACACAATTATTATTTCTATTAAAAATCATTATTTCTAACCTTGTCAATGACTACATTTCCTATTAATTTTGCTATATTTCCTATTCAAACTCATTTCATGCATGTTTTCATGGAAAACAAGGACATTTCTAAGTGACCCCAAACTTTTGAACGGTAGTGTATATCACCAGTAGTACATTTACCATTCATGCCTATAATTTCTAATCTACAATGTTTGTTGGTTATGGTAATGTCTGTTGGTTATGGTAATGTATGTTAATGCATTCAATATATTATTATTATTATTCCAGTCTTGTACCGATCTCATTGTCGGAGTGGACGTTGTTTGCAAAGCGCACACAAGTTTTGGTTTATTTCTTCCATTTAAGAGTTTTGTCAATTTAGTCATTGTCTTTTGTTTGGAGCGCTCCTGTCAATGTTGGGTAAGGACGCGCACCTGATTACGCATAGACGTATAGGCTACCTGGCCTGCTTGCAAATGTAGGCATATATACTGAAAACAAATATTACAGTTCATATAAGGAAATGTCAATTGAATAAAATTCATTAGGCCCTAATCTATGGATTTCACATGACTGGGCAGGGGTGCAGCCATGGGTGGGCCTTGGGGAGCACAGGCGCACCCACTTGGCAGTCTGACCCACCCACTGGCGAGCCAGGCCCAGGCCAATAAGTTTTCCCCCACAAAAGGGCTTTAATACAGACAAATAGTCCTCAGCACCCCATCAGACAATCCCGCAGCTGAAGAAGCCAGAGGTGGAGGTCCTGGGCTGGCGTGGTTACACGTGGTCTGCGGTTGTGAGGCCGGTTGGACGTACTGCCAAATTCTCTAAAACGGAGGCAGTTTATGGTAGAGAAATTAACATTAAATTCTCTGGCAACAGCTCTGGTGGACATTCCCGCAGTCAGCATGCCAATTGCACGCTTCCTCAAAACTTGAGACTACTGTGGCATTGTGTTGTGTGACAAAAAAACAGCACATTTTATTGTCCCCAGCACAAGGTGCAACTGTGTAATGATCATGCTGTTTAATCAGCTTCTTGATATGCCACACCTGTCAGGTGGATGGATTATCTTGGCAAAGATATGCTCACTAACAGGGATGTAAACAAATGTGTGCACAAAATGAGAGAGAGATAAGCTTTTTGTGCGTATGGAACATTTCTGGGATTTTTTATTTCAGCTCATGAAACATGGGACCTGTTGCGTTTATATTTTTGTTCAGTGTAAATGTGCCCATTTGGGGATCTGATAGTATTTCTGATTGGCTTAATGCACCACCACTAATGAGCTGTGGAGCTTCTCAAAGTAATGGTTTTCTTCACCTCAAACAAAGTCAGTTTTTACATCCATTGAGAATGACAATAAATCCTCAATGTATTTGATTACATTTTATTTTTTTCCCAGCTCTCTCCCTTTCGATAACCACTCAGCGTGAAAGGGAAAATGTAATGCTCTAATCCAGTGGAAACGTCATAAAATTGCCTACCTGATTACTTCTTATCCCTTGCACAAATAGCCTACAACTGTGTCTGAGGGCTCTGAGTGCCCAGAATATGTTATACAATGTTGCAAGGAGCTTCAGGCTGGACCCAAGTTAAGTTAATACAATGTTTCAAGTTCGTTGCAGACAGGCCATGCGTAGCCAATGTGATTTATAGGAGCTTTCTTTTTATCAGGATATTTTCTACCTGCAATGTTTTGTTGGCTTTATAGGCTATTTTTACATAGTTGGGAATGGCAATAGAAGTTACTTTTTAGGTTTGTCATTTAGATTTGGATAGCATTTTGATTAACCACATGACAAAGACAGATACGAAGACGTTATTATAAAAGAAACTGTTCCACGAAAAAGTGTATATGAAAGCCATAACTGTCACACAGATTGGTAGAAATGGTCAGATAAATTGGCATTCTACATGAGAAAGTTTGCAGTCTCCTCGTGTAGCCTATTACCGGCAACCTCTGGAGTGTAACGGCAGAATCTGCAAAAGCCAGCAGGAGCGGGAGGAGGATGTTCAGGACAGGTAATAAATGTTTTCCTTCTGGTTTCTTGATCTCTGGCTCCCGAGTCATGTGTCTTATTTTATCGAACAGTGAGCTTAACGCATCAGACAAGCTCAATGGATATATAGTTGATTTAATTAAAAAAACACAGGGTGTGTCTATATACGGAAAAATACATTAATTAAAATTTCGACCAATCAATTGGTCGAAAGAACAGACGACTTTCGGTGGACCAAGATTTTTTTGGGGGACAGCCCTAAGTTAAGCAATCACAAAGAGATGACACCCAGGACTCGAGTCAGAACACACACTTAATCTAGAGAGAACTGTCTGCGTCACTGTCTCCAGCACAGAGAAATCACATGGTGAACAGATAACCCAACAGGATCAAGAAGAGGATTCATGAAGGAGAACTGCACTAGGAACCCATGTGCAGGTGTGGATGTTTCCTGTGGGAGCATGGGGACAGATGACACAGGTGGAAGTGGGAAGAGGTGGATTTGGCCGATGGGCTGGTGGAGGTGGTGGTTGGGGTTGTAAAGAGGTGCTCTGATGGAGCGTTGAATGTCAGGAGGGTGAGTAGTATTTTGGAGAGTCCATGCTTGGGTTAGGTTAGATACTGCTACAAACAAAACATCTTACTGCTGCAAGGTTTGTGTCATGCCACGAGTTCATGCTTCCTGACCAACAAGCTTATAATTTACCAGTCAATGTAATCTAAAGCATTGGTCAGGAAATGCAAAGATGATATTGATCAAGTCTGCGGCTACTTATAGTATTACTGACTGTGACATGGAGACATTGTGCGCTGCGCAGGTGGAGCATTATATCGTGCATGTTTATTACTTATTATAAACTGGGTAGTTTGAGCCCTGAATGCTGATTGGCTGACAGCCGTTGTATATCATACAGTATACCACGGGTATGACAAAACATATTTTTACTGCTCTAATTACATTGGTAACTAGTTTATAATAGCAGTAAGGCACCTCTGGGGTTTGTGGTATTTGGCCTATATACCACTCTAATGGCGTTGCGTCATGCATAAGAACAGCCCTTAGCTGTGGTATATTGCTATATACCACACCCCCTCGGGCCTTATTGCTTAATTTGTGAAGGGTAATAATAACAATTGGTACGTTTACGAAGGATGGGTTCTTCTCATCAATGAGAGCAGTTAGTAGTGAGTGGTAGCACAGAGCTGATGGCTAATACAGTTTACTTGGGGTAGTTGAGGGGTGCTGGCGACAGTGGCTGGCTATCATGTAATCTGGGGGAATTAATGCACACTGACAAAGCACACAGAACAGTGAGAATAAATTAGGGAATTTCACACCTCCCAGCTGCACAGGAGTGTGAGTGATGTATCTGAGCAGATATGGGGCATACAATAGGAACACTGCAGATGGCAGGGAGTTGTCATTGAAGCCATGCATGCCAACACTGATGAAAAAAAGGTGGCAGGAACAGGATTATGTGTAGTGTGTTGAGAATGAGGTAGGCCACTTAGACCTAAAATGGGTTAGTGAATGAGAAGAGTAAAAGAATGATGGAAAGACAGGCAAGAAACACCATCAAAGAAAAGTAGATATTAAAACATGCAGAAGCACAGAAACACCTCTCCCATAATCTCGCTCTCCGTCTTTCTCACATCATCTAACAAAGTGTTACATTTCTTACCTCATTTAACCACCTCTACAAATCTTCAGTGAAAGGTCTTTAGTTCTGTTCATACCTACGCTTTCTAAAACTATCATTTTCACTCTATTCAACTGTCCATCTCAACTAAGGAGAGAGGTGTTTCTGCAAAAAGCCCACAGAGATTAATTCTCTACAAGGAGGAGAGGAAGGAGGGGTTAAGGACGTGTTTTGTCCCCGCCTTCCACTCCATACCACCCAGCCCCATCCCCAAACCTCACCGCCCACCCTCAATCCTGAGTCCCATCCCCACGCCCTCACCGGAGATATCCCACACGCGCACGGTCTGGTCCAGGCTGGCCGACACCACCAGGTCCTCAGAGGGGTGGAACTGAGCACACATCACATAATGATTATGCCCTGTCAGGACACTGCAGGAGAGAAACACAGAAATTATATCAGAATTTACAATTAGAAAAACAATAGACACATGCAAGTGTTTGTGTGAGGTGCCAACACTTGGCTCAGGTACTGACTTACCAGACGCAGGTCCTGGACTGCCAGTTCCAGATGCGGATGGTCTGGTCATCTGAGGCACTCAAAATCCATGGATACTCCTAGAGAAAGGAAAGCAATGAGTTTCATGACGCGTTATTAGGCCTACAGTGCCTTCGGAAAGTATTCAGACCCCTTGACTTTTCCCACTTTGTTAGGTTACAGCCTTATTCTAAAATGTATTAAATTGTTTGTTTTTTTCCTTCATCAATCTACACACAATACCCCATAATGACAAAGCAAAAACAGGTTTTTAGAAATGTTTGCCAATTTATTAAATATTAAACACGGAAATATGACATTTACATAAGTATTCAGACCCTTTACTCACTACTTTGTTGAAGCACCTTTTGCAATAATTACAGCCTCTAGTCTTTTTGGGTATGATGCTACAAATCAAATTGTATTTGCCACATGCGCCGAAAAGAAACAGGTGTAGACCTTACAGTGAAATGCTTACTTACAAGCCATTAACCAAAAAATTTAAAAACAAATAATTAAAGAGCAGCAGTAAAATAAAATAACAGTAGGGAGGCTATATACACAAGGTACCGGTACAGAGTCAATGTTAATCTTTGCCTCGATCCTGACTACTCTCCCAGTCCCTGCCACTGAAAAACACCCCCACAGCATGATGATGCCACCGCCATGCTTCACCGTAGGGATGGTGCCAGGTTTCCTCCAGATGTGACGCTTGGCATTCAGGCCAAAGAGTTCAATCTTGGTTTCATCAGACCAGAGAATCTTGTTTCTCATGGTCAGAGTCCTTAGGTGCCTTTTGGCAAACTCCAAGTGGGCTGTCTTGTGCCTTTTACTGAGGAGTGGCTTCCGTCTGGCCTCCGTCTGGCCACTTTACCATAAAGGCCTGATTGGTGGAGTGCTGCAGAGATGGTTGTCCTTCTGGAAGGTTCTCCCATCTCCACCGAGGAACTCTAGAGCGCCGTCAGCGTGACAATTGGGTTCTTGGTCACTTCCCTGATCAAGGCCCTTCTCCCCTGATTGCTCAGTTTGGCCGGGCGGCCAGCTCTAGGAAGAGTCTTGGTGGTTCCAAACTTCTTCCATTTAAGAATGATGCAGGCCACTGTGTTCTTGGGGACCTTCAATGCTGCAGAAATGTTTTGGTACCCTTCCCCAGATCTGTGCCTCCACACAATCCTGTCTCGGAGCTCTACGGACAATTCCTTCAACCTCATGGCTTGGTTTTTGCTCTGACATGCACTGTCAACTGTGGGACCTTATATAGACAGCTGTGTGCCTTTCCAAATCATGTCCATTCAATTGAATTTACCACAGGTGGACTCCAATCAAGTTGTAGAAACACGTCAAGGATGATCAATGGAAACAGGATGCACCTGAGCTCAATTTCAAGTCTCATAGCAAAGGGTCTGAATACTTATGTAAATAAGGCATTTTTTTATTATTTAAAAAAAATACATTTGCAAAAATGTCTACAACCTGTTTTCGCTTTGTCATTTTGGGGTATTTTTATATATTTTATTTTTTACATTTAATCCATTTTAGAATAAGGCTGTAAAGTAGCAAAATGTGGTAAAAGTCAAGAGGTCTGAATACTTTCCAAAGGCACTGTATATGGGATTATATGCCAGAACATGAAACTACAGGAAAAACATGACATTCAAAGGCTGGGTCATCATGTAAGTGACAACAGAATTGATGTAGGCTAGCCATTTTGAGTGTAAAAATAAGAAGAACTCACATGATGGAAGAAGGTGGTGCGGATGTAGTCCAGGTGTCCAAGAAGAGTGAAGAGGCAACGCCGCAACTTGTAGTTCCACACCTAGTAAAGGGAGATAAATAGTAAATGGTGCAGTGACATCATAATCACAGTTTTCCTGTATGTTTTAGAATGTATTCTCTGCAATGGAAACATGTATGAAGGAGAATGTGAGGGTGTATGAATGTCTAACCTTGATTTTGTAGTCATCTCCTCCAGACACAAACAGAGGCTGTTGCTTGTGGAAATCAATTCCTCTGACAGGTCCTTCACAATAAAACCAAACATAATCATTTGTATTTATTTTACCTTTATTTAACTAGGCAAGTCAGTTAAGAACAAATTCTTATTTACAATGAAGGCCTACACCGGCCAAACCCGGACGACGCTGGGCCAATTGTGCACCGCCCTATGGGACTTCCAATCACGGCCGGTTGTGATACAGCCTGGAATCGAACCAGGGGGTCTGTAGTGACGCCTCAAGCACTGAGATGCAGTGCCTTAGACTGCTGCGCCACTCGGGAGCCCTCATCATCAATAACCAATCAAAGTCGATTACATTTTCATGTTTAGAAATGTGAAAAACTCATTTTTACCATCATGCTCATCGAACTTGTCAATCAGTGTGCACATCCGATAGTCCCAAAGCTGGATGACTCCATTGTGAAGACTAGCAAGGATCCAGGGCCGCTTAGGGTGGAAACTCAGCCCTACGGATGAGAAATGGTTTTAGAAAGTTGGCTTACTAATTAGTTACACGGTCTATGTCTATAGACACCAATGAATGGCAAAATTGTCATCAAGTAAACCATCAATGATAAACATGCAGATCACATGCATTTATATTCATTGCATGGATTTGAGATTGCGTCTGTTAAATGACGTAAATGTAAATGTAGATATGAGCTGAAAGTGTTAAAATACGTGGATGACTGGCTAGCTAGCTTGCTAACTAAATCTTGCTAACATTAACTGGCTAGCTAGTTAACATTAGCTAAAATAGCATACGTTTCCTTGGTCGTAACTAAGTCATGAAAGATTTTTCTAAAATGTGACATGACATTGCTAATCGTATCAATAAATACCTCTTGTCAATTTACAACGACTAAAGAAAGACAACATATTACATGGGCAACATCATTAGCTAGCTAACAGGCTGCTAACATTACCTTTCACACGGGCCGACTTCGTCTCGAATTTGGTCAACATCATAGGAAAGCAACGATAACTATATATGGATGTATCACATTCACTCTGAAGATATACAAAACTTCGTTAAAACTATTATTTTCGCAGACTTGTTTCCCAACTGCTTATTTAGCCCCGACTGTTTCCTGACACGTCAACCTGTGTTGGTGCAATGTCTTCCTGCTTGGGAACAATAAAGTTAGTATTAATGGTGCTTTCAAGACAACTGGGAACTCGGGAAAAACGAGGCCAAATCATGACGTCAATGATCTTCAGGTCGGAAAGTCACAGCTCTAAAAAGATGTCCGAGATCCTGACTTGGAATTCCGAGTTGAATTACCGTTCAAAACTATTTTTCTTAGTCGGAGCTCGAGCTCCCAGTTGTCTTGGACTCACTGAAGTCGGGAGACTTCCGAGTTCCTATTTCCTAGCTGTTGTGAATGCGGCAATAGGATACAGCTGACGCAAAAAGCTCCACGGCGCGGTGATGATGTAATGGAACCACTACTAGTCTATGGATGGGGCTGGCTGGCATCCTAATGAGTTGTACTGAATTCATTCTCGTTAAATATATATCGCACATAAAACCTCAATGTATTTTTTTTAAATAAATTGGACATATGACATTACAAGGACTTCCGGTTCCCAATATTTCAACCAGCAATGATATTTCTTGAGATCTGACCAGAACATAAAACAAAAGGAAAACAGCAGAGTTGGTTTGTTTATTTCATAAACATTGTTAGTTTATTTCATAATAGGCCTACATATTCCACAGAGTTAGTTGATTTATACAATATATTCAGGATGATAATTTAATGATGCCAGTGGAAAGAGAAATGTAGCTAATCGGGTGGAAATAATTGGTTGAATAGCACCAGTCCTGAGAGCAGAGGCTATCAACTCCGACAGAGTTACATGGACTGATCATTTTCCTTTTGCAGTAACCCCAGTATCTCTATTTGCACATCATCTTCTGCACATCTATCACGCCAGTGTTAATACTACATTTTAATTATTTTGCACTATTGCCTATTTATTGCCTTACCTCCATAACTTACTACATTTGCACACATTGAATGTTCTATTTTCTATTGTGTTATTGACTGTACGTTTTGTTTATCCCATATGTAACTGTGTTGTTGCTGTTTTTATCGCACTGCTTTGCTTTATCTTGGCCAGGTCGCAGTTGTAAATGAGAACTTGTTCTCAACTGGCTTACCTGGTTAAATAAAGGTTAAATAAATAAATACATGTTTGAGGTGATAAGGTGACTGCTCTAGATGCCAGCTGCCAATAAATTACACGACCAGGACATGTCTGGATGCAGAGTATGAAAGAGTACATACGGTAGCCTAAAAAAGTAGTACCCAATTCGACTAATGAAAATCATTACTAACTACAGGGCTACTCCCCAAGATTCAGTCAATGCATATGTTGGCATATGAAATATCAAAAATGTCATTCCACTCCACTCACTCCAAAGGAATAGCAAACCACTGTCAAACACAAGGGGGGTACTTTCACAGTAATTCTAACTCTACTAATCAAAGGCCACTGGGGAAAAGTCATTTTTGCACATCACTTCAACACTTTTAAAGATTCTAGGAAATCATTTGAACTGTTTTACTACTTGCATCTGTCCCTTAACAAATAAATGCTATATATTCGTATTATTTGGATAATTTTTCTTTAGATCAAAGCAGGGTCACATACCAGTAGTGGTACTTGTTTCAATATAATCGTGTGAAACAGTATTTTACATTTTCTTCATTTAGCAGACGCTCTTATCCAGAGCGACTTACATTTTTCATTCTGGCCCCCCGTGGGAATCGAATCCACAACCCTGGCGTTACAAGCACCATGCTCTACCAACTGAGCTACAGGAGGCCCATTTTCTCCTGATGGCACAAATCCTATTTCGACATTGTGGTCACGTTTTTCCATAACGTGGACATAACTTGTAGCACATAAAAAGCTAAGAGGGTTATAATCGCAGTCCCAAAATAGTTAACCATCTTGGTGGTCTGGCTGTGGTCCCACTACTGGACAGAAGCCCCCGGGATTCGGGGGACGTCTTAACCCCGACGGTTGCTGACCGACCTTGGCTCTAGCCCCACCGCGACTCGAACCCAGGCTGTCTAATCCGAGCGCCAATGCGCAAACCAGAGCACCAACCTGTTTAAAAACTCTAATAATGTAAGTTATAAACATGTCATAATTTGCCACAGGACTGGCTCTTACATCTTGTCGATGTAACAATGTTTCAACCGACGTCATGAAAACTAGAGGTCAAATCAAGTGCACAGCCATCTACAGTCTGTTGTACAACATAGCAGCTATTGGGAAGATACTGTATAACTAACCAAGAACCAAGGTAAAGTCGTTCTCTAAAATTCAGCTAGCTGGCTTATGATTATGATATTATGAAATTGTTATTAAATTAGAACGAGTTAAGTTTAACTCCTCGATTTTCTTTTCTTTAAATAATTCACAAATGTACACTGGTTAAGCAACCATCAATATTAATCTACACGAATTTGTTATATTAACAGTATTAATTATGAATTTTTATCACTCTAAACTAGTGGTCAGAAACAACCTAATCAACCCCCTGGGGTGTTGGTGTTACTTTATTGATTAGTGGAACTGTGACACTGACTCAACACCCTTTGTTGGGTACGCAGCCCCATGATGATACTGCAGCTATGAAACAACTCAATCATCACTCAGCAACTCACCACAGAGAATCCCATTATCCCTTCTGTAAGGTTTATAACAATAATGCAAGGCACCATTTTAACCAATAGGGCTGTTCAACCAGTTCTACCATGAGGCTAAACAATTGTGAGTGTAAAAACGGCCTGATAAGTCAACTGCTAGTCAGTTGAGCTGTGTGTGTGGGAATGCTACTACCTGTACTACGAATGACCTGGAAGAGCTTTTGACAAACCAAAGCAATTAATTTAAAATCAGTGATGTGATGATCAGTGAGTTACCGAAGGGTGGTCACATTGGTTTGTTGTGCCACCGTTCACCGTGCCTTCTATTTAGACACAGAAACATCTGTTAGGAGGAGAGCAGTGCAAACAGTCTCGTTCTCCTCCTTGTCTTGTGATCGATGGTCCTCTCTCATCACCCCCCTCGCACACAGCCCCTAGCCTGTGCATCCATTGAACTGGCTGCTCTGACATCACATGATTGAGCACTGCTCTGCCGCTCCAGCCCCAGAGGCTCCTGGGAGATTCAGGGATTCCAGGTCAAAGTTCAGGCCAGGTGGCTGATGGGGGGGGGGGACAGAGGGGGTTTCATTAATCTTAATTAATTCAAATATAGCACATTGAGATCAAGTTTATTTTACAAGATGGACCCGGTCCAAGGAGCAAAACTTACTATGCAGCTGCACTAACAAAGGTTGGTAGATAAAGGAGAAAGAGAGCGCAAGTGAGAGGAGAAACATACCGATTCACCAGCCAGCTCTTTGGGTGGTTGGCCCAGGTCCTGTAGCTGAAAATTCAAACTCATAATCAATATCCATGCACAGCAAACAATCAGCCAGTATGAATCACAACCAACAGTTCATGCTGGCTCACCTGCTGCATGAGTTCCAGAATGCTCTCAAAGCTATTCTCCCCATCCCTTCCACTTTGCTCTCCCTCCTTCTCAAACTGGCTGCAGATCTCTCCCATGACCTTGTGCTGCTGTTCGTAGCGCTGGAACTGATCTGGGGGGAGGGACTGACGATTGCTGTTCAGCCACTCAGGATACTGCATGAGGATTGAATAACAGTCAGTTATCCAGTTAGAAAGTTGTGTAAAGGGCATACAAGGGAAAATCTATAAAAACAATAATCAACATCTGCAAGTGGCCTGTTAACTATATACATTTTTAGGGAAAACCCAAACATCTGGACAGAAAAAACACTAACCTTCTCAGTGATCTCTTTGAGAGACGGGTAGAGCACTTCCTTGGAGAGTAGATTCTGCATGATGGACTGCATAATCGGCAGGATGTTTCCGTCTTCCCCGCCCCCCTCTCCACCCTCATCCAATCCCAGCCCTTCCAGAGTCTTTGCTAGATCCTCTCCAGCAAAACCTGCACTCTGATGAATAGAAACAAGAACAGTCTGAAATGCATCGAAGACCAAAGAAACAGACATTCCGCCAATGGTCCAAAGTTTCAATATTTTCAGAACATTGTCCAAGGGTGGTGACAACCAAACCTTCCATAATTTATTTTTTAAAAGATAATCATCTGAACTACCTGTAAATTGTCTGCATTTTTCGCCAATCCACTGAGGGTATCTTTGAGACAGGAAGTGAATTCTTGTTGGGAGGCTACATCAGTACCTGTTCAAAATGAAGAGAGTTTCAATGAGATTTTCCCCCGCAAAACACAGGGCAGAAAATACTGACATGAAAAACCCCCCCAGCTCAAATTAATCATCAAATCAAATTTTATTTGTCAGATGTGCCAAATACAACAGGTGTAAACTTTACCATGAAACCACAGGAGGTTGTGGCACCTTAATTGGGGAGGACAGGCTTGTGGTAATGGCTGGAGTGGAATAAGTGTAATGGTATCAAATACATCAAACATTGGGTTGCAGGTAGCCTAGCAGTTAAGAGCGTTGGGCAAGTAACCGAAAGGTCGCTGGTTCGAATCCCCGAGCCGACTAGGTGCAACATTTGTCGATGTGCAAGGCACTTAACCCTAATTGCTCCTGTAAGTCGCTCTGGATAAGAGCATCTGCTAAATGACTAAAATGTAAAGATTTCATTCACTCTGTTCATTATTATAAGCCTGCGTGAAGTGCTTACTTACGAGCCTTTTCCCAACAATGCAGAGTTAAATTAGCAAAAAATAAAGGAAATAGTAACACAATAAAATGAGACTATATATATAAGGAGTACCGGTACCAAGTCAATGTGCAGGGGTACGAGGTATTACATTGACAGGCACGTAAGAACGTAACTGAAAATATGTGGATGCTTACCAACTTTTCCTGCTGCCTCTGACAATTTGTGAAAGTGTTGCAGCAGCTCAGGCTCTTCCTGTGCGAGTTCAGTCATGGCTTTCTCCCACTCCTCCTTCGCCTGAGAGGCCATCTCCCCTTCAAACAGTGCCTCGAAGAACTGACTGTCTTCCAGTAGAGGGGGCTAGAGAGATGTGCATCAACAGGTAAACTGTTCAATTTATCTTCCCCCATATACAGACAGAAATGTAGAGGGAAGGGTAGACAGACTTGACACTGAAAGATACCTTCTGTACCACAATCAGAACACTAACAACTACAGCTTCTTGTATGCAAGCACCAGGTAATTGGTGAAGTTAGGGCACATTCTAGAAACCAGGGAAAATATTCACTCACTTTCTCCTCACTGCCATTGGCTGACGGGGGAGCCACGGCGGCAGCAGCAGGAACTGGGGCTGGGGGGGCCGACTTTGTCTTTTCAAAGTCATCGAGCGCACCTTTAGTAGAGGAAAGTCAATAAAAGCTGAGATGTAGTGGCACAGATAGCAGCATTTAGCACGAGCAGGTGGAAGCATGGTCAAGGCAAGGTGAAGCGATTGGGCAGGTAGTTAGAGGACAAAGGTCAACTCTTCAAAGTCTGGGTCAATGTGCAATTCAGTCATGCATTAGTTGATTATCAAACTCAGTATGATGAGGTCACTACTTCTACTTTAGAAACTCATTACCATTTCTGATGTTAGGAATACAACTTCACCAAACTAATTGAAATATTACAAACGTCAGATTATGATAATCTCCATTAAATTCTTGCTACCACGATAATAGTAGCCTCTAGACTAGTGTAGTCTGGCAGCCTATAGTTAATAATACACAAAGTGGCATTGGCTACTAGTATGTAATACCATAATGAATTCAAATCGGTTAGCCAGCTGACAGAAACAATAACAGAGCTGTCTGTCAATCCAGATCTCACTTGCTGACATACTAGCGATTCAACCATAAAAAAATAATATCAATTTCAAGGGCAGCTTGAGTTTAGTTTAACACATGATGCTGTTCCATTTTTGCCTAATCGGGGTCAAAGTGAATGACAAAAGTTATGATATCATAGCTATAAACCCCCACTGAGCCATCTGTTGCAGCGTTGTAATGCTAATGGTGACCTCTTAGTAAACAGCAAAAGCAGGAGATTTTGTAAGAGAATGCCTGACTTTGGTTTTGGACTTGCCAGGCAGGACCAACCACATTCCATCAACTAGGCTAAACTAGCTAACGTTAGCTCGCTAACAAGGCACGTTGCTCCGCTGCGCCACGTTTGACACCATTCTTTGTATGCATTAATGCATTGGCAGTATTGATTATAATCACACTTCACTCGGAAGTAATGTCAAATCTTACTGTCCAATAACTCGTCTAGTTCTGTGTCTTGTTCTGCCAACGGTTCCGCTGATTCTGACGCCATCTTGTCTCTCCAAACAAATTTACTGAAGAAGCAGTAAAATGACGTATGCGTATAAAATCGTCGCGGATTTGTGCGTCACTCTGGGATGGATTTCTTCACAGATTTCCTATTATATTGACCAGATACTGAAGTGGCATCTCTAACGAGTCTTCTTCTTCGATGAGGTTTAACGGCGGTTAACACCCACTCAAACGAGTCATGGATAACTATGCATACATGGAGTGTGCCTGAAAGTGGGCGTGTCAACAGAAGTGGGAAGATCAACAGAAGTGGGTGTATGGAAAGCGATTCAGCTAATTGGGCAGATTTGTTGCCACTCAAGAACATTTTGCATGGCTGATTGGGCTGCACAACGAGTCGATTGTTGACAACTGTAGCATTTTAGCTAAACCTAACACTAACTCTTTTCCTAACCTTAACCTCGTTTTCCTAACCTGCCACGTTAATTATCCTAATCTGCTGTGTTAGTTCTCCTAACCTGTCAATTTAATTATCCTAACCTGCTATGCATTTTAGCTACGCCTAATCCTAACCCCTTTCCTAACCTTAACCTCATTATCCTAACCTAATATTTCAATTGACTGATTTCCTTCTATGAACTGTAACTCTTTGAAATTGTTGCATGTTGCCTTTATATTTTTGTTCAGTATATTTTTTCTCTCAAAGTTGCCGGGATGGAGAGTTGGCAGCTCTGGTGTGAGATGTATAAATATTCAGTCAATTTCCATAAACCATTATTGCTTACCGATTAATTAATTAATTAATCTACATTTAAATTAAATGACAACCAGCAGCAAGTTGGAATCTCCATTTCAAGGTAGTTTTAAGAAAGGTGTACATCCAAGGAGAGGAGCTTAAAATGGCGTCCCTTGATAGGGCAAGAACGAGATGTTGTATGTTAGAAGAAGTACAACATGGTCATAAGGAGACATATACATGTACTTGGAATACGGAGGCGGAATGGAGGGGAAAAGAGAGGCATAAGTCTAAGAGCGAGAGGGAGGAAGAGGGTGAGCTTGAGTCTTGTAAAAATGGCAGAAAAAAGGGAGATGTTTTGTCGAAGAAGAATGGTAGAAAGTATAAGCAGAGTGAGCCGTATGCCGGATCAAGGTCTGGAGGAGAAATGGAAGTGAATGAGGGTGAATTATCGGAGGTGGCAGGTGTGGTGAAGTCCTCAGAGCCCGAGGCTTGCAACGATGGTCAGGATTAAGATGATTCTGTGATGGTAGGAGTGACATTTTAGGAGAAAGTGGACCTATGCCTTTTGGCTGATCCATTTGTGGTTTCAGGGTACGTGAAAACGGAGTTGGGTGCTATGAAATCGATGAAGGTAACCCAAAGTGGTCTTGTGATAATTGTTTGTGTTTCTGCTGGTCAGAAGGAGCAGGCGCTTCGCCCCAAACGAATTGGGACCAGAGATGTGACTGGTTTTCCTCTCAAGAAAAGGGCGCCATTGAAAGGAGTGATTACTGGGGTAGCGGTAAATGTGAAAGTGGACACATTGAAGGGAAAGATTCCCGGTGTTTGTGATGCTCATCGTTTGGTGCAACGCAGACAGGGTGATGTGAGTGGTGAAACAGAAGAGTCATTGTATGTTCTTGAGAGTTTTGATGTTGAGTCTGCGCGATAAAGTGATGTTAGGATATTTCAGTTATCCCGTACGAGCTTATGTGCCGAATACATAACATTGTAAATCTCTGAAGCTGGAGACACTCTGTAGCTTAATTGGTAGAGCACGGCGCTTGTAACGCCAGGGTAGTGGGTTCGATCCCCGGGATCACCCATACGTAAAAATGTATGCGCACATGACTGTAAGTCGCTTTGGATAAAAGCGTCTGCTAAATGGCATATTATTATTATTATTATTATTATATTATTATCTCCCTCATTAACTTTAAGCATCAGTTGTCAGAGCAGCTTACCAATCAATGTACCTGTACACAGCCCATCTGTAATTAGCCCACCCAACTACCTCATCCCCATATTGTTATTTACATTGTTATTTATTTTTGCTAATTTGCACCCCAGTATCTCTATTTGCACATCATCTTCTGCACATCTATCACTCCAGTGTTACTACTAAATTGTAATTATTTTGCACTATGGCCTATTTATTGCCTTACCTCCATAACTTACTACATTTGCACACACTGTATATAGATTTTCTATTTTCTATTGTGTTATTGACTGTACGTTTTTGTTTATTCCATATGTAACTCTGTGTTGTTTTTATCGCACTGCTTTGCTTTATCTTGGCCATGTCGCAGTTGTAAATGAGAACTTGTTCTCAACTGGCTTACATTGGGGAAATAAGCGGTATGTGTTAATTGTAGGGGTGGCAGGTAGCCTAGTGGTTAAGAGCATTGGGCAAGTAACCGAAAGGTTGCTGGTTCAAATCCCTGAGCTGACTAGGTGAAAATAATCTGTCGATGTGCCCTTGAGCAAAACACTTAACCCTACTTGCTCCTGTAAATCGCCCTGGATAAGAGCATTGACTAAAATGTAGGGGTGCCCATCGGGCTGGGGATCAGAAATGTCCAGTGTGGGAGAGGTTAGAATAGAGCAGAGGGTGTCGTATGTTGAGGAAGATTGGTGAAGGGGGAGGGATTTGTGAGAGTAGTAGATCAGTATAGAGGTATAGGCCAACGAGTGATGTAAGATTGGCTTTTTAGCGTTCATACGTAAGTCGCGGAAAATAGAGGTTGTGGTGGCAGCTGCAGATAAGTATTTGGGTGTGACGTCAGAAGAGTTACAGGGTGGTGGTATCCCATCCTTTCAGGCTGTTGGCCTGAGGTAGGACTAGATAGGTTTAAATAGTGTAGAAGGATGGTGGGTTTCTATGAGTGTGGAGTTAGCTGGTAGGGTGTTTGTTAATTAATTTCCCATTATTTCAAGCAAATTATAAGGGAGTTATACTCCAGTTTAGTTGGTGGCGGTAATGCAACATTTATTGGATGCCAACCGCCGTTAAGCCTCATCGAAGAAGAAGTTGCCGGGATGTCATGTGTCACTCGTAACAACCTAAGCATTACGTACTTCTATTCGATCAAATAAGCCACAAGTAGCATTTTATGAGACAAAAATAAAAAGGAAGGGGGAAAGGAAAAAATTGCACCAACGAATAATCCTACACCTATATACCACTATTTCATAATAAAAAAGTAAAAATTGACCCTAACTGATCCTAAACCAGGCCGACGGCTTGGGAAGATGGGACTCTTTCAACACACCTTTTAACTCTTCTGCAGTAAAACATCGTACACCCAAGTACTTCTCTGCAGCTGCCACCACAACATCTATTTTCTGTGATTTACGTTCCATTTCTGCGGTACAGTTGTGTCTCCCGAGTGGCGCAGTGGTCTAAGGCACTTCATCGCAGTGCTAGCTGTGCCACTAGAGATCCTAGTTCGAATCCAGGCTCTGTAGTAGCAGGCCGTGACCGGGAGACCCATGGGGAGGCGCACAATTGGCCCAGCGTTGTCCAGGGTAGGGGAGGGAATGGCCGGCAGGATGTAGCTCAGTTGGAAGAGCATGGCGTTTGCAACACCAGGGTTGTGGATTTGATTCCAACGGGGGACCAGTATAAAAAATGATGTATGCACTCACTAACTGTAAGTCGCTCTGGATAAGAGCGTCTGCTAAATGACTAAAATGTAAATGTAAGTTGATAAACATGACAATGACTGCTAAGAAGCCAACCTTACTGATGCACAAATTCTATCACTCTGTACTGGCTTAGGCCTACTACTCACCCTTGACCCATCATCCTCTACTCTCTTCACTGCCTCAGCATATCACACCTTCTGTTCTACTCTGACCCTGGCAACCTCAACCTGTCTCTCTTGTACTGGACACTTCTGATCTCCAGCAATATGGGCATCCGTCGATTAATGTAGCCCCCCCCCGCACCTCTCTGATTCAGAGGGGTTGGGTTAAATGCATATAACACATTTCGGTTGAATGTATTCAGTTGTGCAACTGACTAGAGCCGCGTTCACGTGCTAGTCGGAACTAGGAAACTCAGACATTTCCGACATGCTAACTGGTTGTAGTTATACATGTGCTGCGTTCAATTAATCAGCAAGTCGGAAATTTCTGAGTAGTTCCCTTCCTTTCCCCCACAATTGACACACACAGTTTTTTCCACTGATGCTACACATTACTTTGTCTCATGCCCTCCTGCACACTTCTCACATCTCGGAATCTCCCTCCTACCCACTGCTGTAACATGACCATAAGCTTGGCATCTGAAACAACTTAGTGGGTTCGGCACAAAATCTCTCACGGGATAACTGACATATCCTAACATGACTTTGTCAGGTAAAACTCAAAAGGACAGACAGTGGCTTCTCAGTTTCACCACGCTCGCCAGCGTGTTTGCGTCGCACCAAACGGCAGGCGTCACAGACACATCAAATCAAATCAAATCAAATTTTATTGGCCACATGCGCCGAATACAACAGGTGCAGACATTACAGTGAAATGCTTACTTACAGCCCTTAACCAACAGTGCATTTATTTTTAACAAAAAAGTAAAAATAAAACAACAACAAAAAAAAGTGTTGAGAGAAAAAAAGAGCAGAAGTAAAATAAAATAACAGTAGGGAGGCTATATATACAGGGGGGTACCGGTGCAGAGTCAATGTGCGGGGGCACCGGCTAGTTGAGGTAGTTGAAGTAATATGTACATGTGGGCAGAGTTAAAGTGACTATGCATAAATAATTAACAGAGTAGCAGCAGCGTAAAAGGATGGGGTGGGGGGAGCAGTGCAAATAGTCCGGGTAGCCATGATTAGCTGTTCAGGAGTCTTATGGCTTGGGGGTAGAAGCTGTTGAGAAGTCTTTTGGACCTAGACTTGGCACTCCGGTACCGCTTGCCGTGCGGTAGCAGAGAGAAAAGTCTATGACTAGGGTGGCTGGAGTCTTTGACAATTTTGAGGGCTTTCCTCTGACACCGCCTGGTATAGAGGTCCTGGATGGCAGGAAGCTTGGCCCCAGTG